TATCTTCTATTTCTACTTTTCTGTGAGTTTTAACATAAATGAATGTTAAATATTTTAAATGCTTTTTTGCATTAAATCATATAACTATGTAGTTTTTCCTTATTATCTTGTTAATATTGTAATTACATTGATTTTTGAATATTGAGTCAGTCTTGTGTACCTGGAATAAACCCCGCTTTTTCATGGTGTATAATTATTTTTATATAGCTGAATTGTATTTGCTGGCATTTTGTTAAGGATTCAGGAAGGATATTGGTCTGTAATTTTCTTTTTCTTTTTCTTGTTAATTTACTTATTTAGATATAATTGACATCTGACATTATATTAGTTTCAGGTATACACCGTAATGATTGAATACTTGTATATACTGCAGCATGATCACCACAATAGGTCTAGTGAACTTCCATAACCATACATAGTTACACCGTTTTTTTTTCTTGTGATGAATTTTTTTTTTTTTAATACTGTCTTTGTCTGGTTTTGGTGTCATGGTAATGCTGGCTTTATAAAATGAATTGGGGAGTTTTTTCTTTTATTTTCTAAAAGAGATTTATTTATTTCATATTGTGTCTGTTTTGGTAGTTTTGTTTTTTTTAAGGACTTGGTCCATTTCATCTATGTTGTCAAATTTATATTCTTTTGACATCTGTAAGTCTGTAATAATATTCCGTGTTTTATTTGTGTTGGTAGTTTTTGTCTTTTTTTTTTTTTTTCTTTGTCATCTTGCTAGGGACTTGTCAGTTATATTGATCTTTTCCAAAAAATCAATTCTTTGTTTCATTGATTTTTCTCTCTCGTTTTCCTGTTCTCCATTTCATCATTGTCTGCTCTTAATTTTTTACTTTCTCGCTTTAGGTTTATTTTGCTCTTCTTTTCTTAGGTTCTAAAGTTGGGAACTTTGATTTTTGATTAAGATTTTTTTCTCTTTTCTAATGTTTGCATTTAGTACTACCCATCTCAACCCTGCTTTGTGTCTCACAAAATTTGATATGTTGTGTTTTCACTTTCATTCAGTTCAACATATTTTTTGCTTTTCATTGAGAGATGCCCTCTTCTGTGGATTATTTAGGACTGTGCTGTTTATTTTCTAAGTGTTTAGAGATGTTGCTGTTATCTTTCTGTAATTTCTAGTTTCGTTTAATTGTGGTCAGAGAACATATTTTGTGCTATTTCAATTCTTTCATATCTGTTGACATTTGTTTTATGGCTCAGGATATGGTCTCTCTTCTCTTACATTCCAAGGCACTGGAAAAGAATATGTATTTTGCTGTCATTAAGTAAAGTATTCTATTATTGTCAATTAGATTTTGTTGGTTGATGTTGTTACAGATTACTTCTGTATGTTTGCTGATGTTCTGTCTAGTTCTATCAGTTGCTGAGAGAGAGGTTATTGAAATCCCTATAATTGTGGATCTGTTTATATTTCTCCTTTCAGTTCTTAAAAGTTCTTCTCATATTTTGTGGTTCTTGTTTGGTGTGTACATATTTCGGATTGTGATATCTTGATGGACTCACCTTTGTTTTTCTTTTATCAGCATGTAATGTTCCTTGTTGTGATAATTTTTTACTTTGAACTCTACATTAGCTGATACTAATACAGTCATTCCTCCTTTCTTACTGTTTCCACAATATGTCATTTTCCATTTTTTTACTTTTAATCTGCCTTCAGATCAGTTTCTTTTTTCTAGATTGCATATAGTTGGGTCTTCTTTATATATATAATGTCCATTTCTGTCTTCTAATGGTAATCTTCAGGCTGCTGACATTTACTGTAAAGGGCTTAAGTCTGTCCTGTGTTTTACAATTCACAAATTTCCATTTGGTTCTTTTTTACATTTTATATTTTTTTTCCTTAGACTTTCTATCTTCATTTTTTTTATTGTGTTCATAATTGATTATTGAATCATTTTTATAACTGCTTTAAAATCTGTGTCAAATCTAAACATGTTTGTCATTTCTGTGTTTGCATTTATTGTCTTTTTTGCATTCTCTCTAATATCTTGGCTCTTAATATGACAAGTGATTTTATTTATTATTGAAACCTGGAAATTTTGAGTATTAATGAAATTCTGGATCTTATTTAAACCTACTGTTTTTTTTTTTTTAAATTATTTATCCTTAGAATGAGAGAAACATTAAAATGCTAGAGAAACATAATTGGTTGTTGCCTTTTGCTCGCCCCCAACCCAGGCATGTGCCCTGATGGAATTGAACTGGAGACCTTTCAGTTTGTGGAATGATGCTCAACCCCCCCGCACCCCTCACCCCCAAAAAAGCCACAATAAAAGCCACTGAGCCACACCAGTTAGGGCTAAACCTACTGTTTTAATTAGCTTCCTATAATGCCACTTCGACATTACTTTCAGTTGCAGGTAGAAATTGAAGTTCCTTACTCTTCATCCATTGACATCTGAGGAGGGAGGTCCTCATTATTGTTGGCAGGCATGAGAGTTCTAGATCCCCACTATATACCTTCTTGTTCCCCACGAAGTCTTCACTAACACAAGTAGGGTAAAAGCCCTGACTCTTCACAAGTCCTCCTTTGACACTACTGAAGGACAGAGGAGTATTGGCGGCTTCTTACTACCTGGTGAGAAGATAAATTCGTGTTCCCCATGTGGTTTCCATTGACACTACGGGAGTTGAGAGGGGGGCATCCCTATTCATGGTGGACCTTTTAGGTATCCATTCAGTCTTTGCTGGCAATGGAGGGATTGTTTTGGTGGGTTTTTCTTTGTTTTATTTTTCTGTCTGCCCCATTGGCATTTCTGGTTTGCCGACTCCTTTAGCTAGGATAGAGGAGGCAAGAAAGAAAACCCAAGAAACTCACTATTGTATTGCTTCTCAAACATCTGCTTATGCCTGTTTTATATATAATGTCTAGGGCTTTTAGTTGAATTGGCTGGAGAGGGAAAAATACATTTACATCATCATCCTGGAAGCAGAAGTTATTTATTTTATCTATTTTTTTTTAACCTTCTGTGCCATACCGCCCTCCCCTCTCATCCCACTCCAGTTAGTTCCTCATTTCTCTGCCACCTTTTAGGACCAATTTCTTGGAAGCACATGTCTATACTTATTTTCTCTAGTTCCTCTTTCTTCCTTCTCTTTTAAACCTATACTAGTAAGACTTACTGCTACCACTCCTTTGAAATCACTTGGCAAAGCATCATTTACAAGTAAATAATCAAAGTAGTGACAGTTAATCAAAACTGTGGCTGAAGCTGAATTTATACTTAGAGAAAAAAAGCTAACTTTAGAGGAAAAAAACTATGAAACTGAATGAGCTAATATCTAATTGAAGAAGTTATAAAGAAGATCAACCCAAAGAAATAAGGCAAAAGAAGATAAAAAGATGTTTATTAGTAAAATTAAAAGCAAAGCTAAAATTGAGAGAATTAAGAAATTCTGATGATAGTCAAGAAAAAGCAAAAGCAAAAATACAATGCATATTAAAAGTTATTATAAATAATTTTAACAGTATATATTAAATAAAATTGTGTGAAGCAAGCAAATTATCTGAAAAGTGTACAAACATGACCAAAAGTGATTGAAAATAACTGGAAAATCTGAATGGGCCAATAACCATTAAAAAGGCTGATTTACTGGTTAAAAGTCTCCCCCCCCCCTCAGTGAAAGGCCCAGTTGGTTTTTCACTAGAGCTTAGACAAATGCTATTTCAAGTGGTCAGTAAACTTTTTCAAAAGAAAAGGTAGTAATATTCATTTTATTTCTTCTGAGGCTTATGTTACAAATTTGTTACTAAAACTATCAAGAATATATACAATGAAATTTACAAGCCAGTGTCACATAGGAACATAACAAAAAATCTAGCAGTGGGTTAACTGGTAACACCATCAAATTTGGCTTAAGAATGCAAGATTTAAGCAACATTAGGAATTTAATCAAAATATTTGCACCTTAATAAAATAATGAGTTACTACCACATGTCACATTGTTGATTTAGAATAATGAAAATGTTAGTTAAAACAGAATGCTAGGTATCTGTACAATGTGATGAGTACTCAAATTCAGTTTTGAGTGAAATAACTAGATCACAGTGGGTGGCACAAATAATTTGAAGGGAGTCATATGGTCTCACAGAGATGGCAAAATGTGAGGTATTGATGAGTAATATTTTGTGAAAATATTGGAACAGCATTTCAAGTAGAGGAAAATAATATGTACTAAAGCATCGTTGTGGCATTTGGGTATGGTGACATATAACTAGAGCACAATAAGGATATTGGGACCTGGCAGGAGATAAAACAGGAGATTTGGGCCAATTGCAAAAGGCTTTGTCTGCCTTGCTTTTTGTTAAGTAAGTGGAATATATCAACCCAATGAGAGTCAAAGTCAGTAAGGATTTTTGAGCATTCCATTTATTTCACTTCTTATATTTAATGTCTTGTCTTTAGAAGTAACATATAACTTATTTGCATTCTTTTGCATATACATACACCTTATTTTATTGAGGTCAGGTGCTGCCACTGATTTTCCTCAATTTTTCACTAAAAATGTAGGAATGGGCATTTATGAGTGAACCGCTAATATATATTAGTTTCTTCTATGCAATATTTTAAACTTTTAAAACTACTCATGGCTAATCTTTCACCAAGCTGGTGCCTAAGACTTTCCAATGAAATAATGTGAGAGGCCTGAGTAATTTCATTTGTTCTGTCATTTGCTAACTTTATGTGGTAAAAGCACATTTTACTGCATCTCACTCTGAGACATTTTTTATTTTATTAGAATTTTTTGATTTTTTTTTTAAAAATTGGAGTGAACTTTAATTGGTTTCTAGGTTTTCCCTTTTTTGTTGCATTGGTAGATACAAGGCAACAAGTTTGTTGTATTGAATTTTGAATCAGAATCTTAAATCTAAATTAATGACTTTATATTGCTCTCAGTTTTTTCCTTAACAAATTCCTTTAAACTTTCTAAAAATGCTTTTATTTAATTTTCTTGATTATATAATCTGTTTGATTTTTAAATTTAAGGTGTGACTGCACAGAAAAGTTACAGAACAAATTTGACTTTTTGCGCTCACATTTGAATGATATTTCTTCATTTAAGAATATCTACAGATATGCCTTTGATTTTGCAAGGGTAAGTGGAATATACATGTTTTGTAATTTTAATATTTTTTTAATCTTGAGACCACACTTAGGAAAATTGTTTTTACTTATATTTTAGGATAAAGATCAGAGAAGCCTTGATATTGATACTGCTAAATCTATGTTAGCGCTTCTGCTTGGGAGGACATGGCCACTGTTTTCAGTATTTTACCAGTACCTGGAGGTATGTATGTTTTTCTTTTATTTTGAAAATATTATTTTAAAATTTAATCTGATTGACAATATACCTTTGGAAAAAACAAATAGATTTTTAAAACTGCACATTTAAAAAAACCTGCTTTAGGAGAAAATTTCTTTTAAAATATACATATACCTGCTGTCATATTTAGACACAAGTTCATGTTTTGTAATACATTCTGTACATAGTTATTTTAATTCTATCCCTTGCATGCCCCCCTGCTCTCCACTAAAAAAGAAACTCAAGAAATAATTTTAACGTAGTCTTCACACAAAAGTAGATTTTGGGGCTTTCGGCAGGAGAACATTAATGATAGTGCACAAATCTCAAGTTTCTAAATCATGTTTCTTTCTGTTACACAGGGTCTTAGGCTGAAATTCACATAAGAACCAGTTACAGCAATAGAACTTTCCATTAAGGCTCAATGTAAAGAATTTGAATAAAGCTTTTAATCTTCGATTCCCACAAATATGACAGTGGCTCAAATGGTGTACTTAAATATATTGCATACTAAAAATATATACTGAACTTACAAAGAAATTATTCTTTTAAAAGGTTTATATACTATAGCAGTGGTTTTAAGATACTGCTCTTTTTTTCCCATTGCTTCCTTTGTTTTCCTATCAGTTATTGTGCCTTTTTAGTTTCTGTGTTTTTTTTATATAGTTCTCACCATTTTTTTAATTAGATCTTCTGCTTTTTGCTTTGAAAATAACTTCTCATAAAGCTGATTGTTTATCATAGCAAGTTCTCCAGAGTATTTTGTTTAAAGCTTGTGATAAGAGACGATGGTAGGGAAGGTCTTCAGTGAATGGGTTTAATTTACACTTAACTCTTTCAGCCTAATAAAGTAGATGTTTCTGATGGGTGTTATCAGTCTTCCTCTTATTACTAGTTTTCGCAAAAATAAATATAACTGAATATAAAAATACTTCCAAAACGAACTAAGAGGACTAAATATCTTCAGACACCTGTTATCCAGTGGAGGGTGCTTGACATACTATCTTTTTAAATCTTTCGAGCACCATTTTGAATTACATTTAATCCCCATTAGCAAATGAGGAGATAGGTTCTGTTGTTAAGTAACTTTCCTAAAGTCACTCAGTTAAGGGGCAGAGTGGGATTTGAACCCATGCCTATAGTCTTTCCAGTGCCTCCAATGGTGCCAGCTTCAAAATGTGTCTCAACACTAAATGTCATTTAAAAAAATGAATTACTGGGAAGCAACAGAATGAGAATTTATTGGTTGTAGGAAATAGTGTATATCTTGATCTCAAGATATGTGGTTACCAAGTATATACATAGGTAAAACGTTCATTAGTACCCCGATGCTCTTGTTGTTCTTCAAAAATGAAAGAAAAATAAAGGAAAAAATAAATAGGTGACATTAAAATGTAAATGCCCCTCGAGATTCTCTTAGATACACAAATAATTTAAAAGAGGAATAAATGTTTTAGGGACAACCAAATTACGAAATATAACTAGATGTATTGATGTCAGGCCCTAATAAATAATGCTTGTTCTGTAATCCAAATATTTATATTATTTTCCTCAGCAATCAAAGTATCGTGTTATGAACAAAGATCAATGGTACAATGTATTAGAATTCAGCAGAACAGTCCATGCCGATCTTAGTAACTATGATGAAGACGGTGCTTGTAAGTATGTTTTCCTGTGAAAATAAAAATTTTTAAACTGTTAAATGAGCATATGCATTCCATAAAGGATTTAAACTTCGTAACAGAAACTTTTATTATTTAATCATGTGGGAAGTGTAGGGGAGGCAGGAGTAAGAAGGTAAGCGAGAGCTTAGATTGAGCAATATTATAAAATCTATGCTGATACATGAAATATTTTTAATTTCTCAGTAACAGCATTATAAAGCTTAATTTAAATTATAGTTTCTGTATCTAGAAGCTACAATTCTGCTTCATTTCTGCCTTTCCCGGCATTTTTCTATGGAAGGAAAGTATATTCATGATCGTAAAAAATAGGAAAGCAAAACATCACCTGTAATTGAAAAAGCTTATTATATTAACTGGAAAGCTTTTTCTAGAATCTGACAAAACTGTACCTGTATTCTTTCATAGGAATTAGTGGCTGGAGCCAAGTAGTGGCTTATGTTGGACTTGTTTTCCAGTTTGATGGTATTGCAAAGCTAGGTTACTTTTCAGTTGCCATTTATTATTGCAAGAGAAAAATAGAGACTACCACAAGGTTGTTCATTTTAAGAAAAATAGGGCAGTCATATTTCTTCGTGATAACGAGTTTTCGAACAAAATAAAACCAGAGGCATGGATACATGGAACAGACTGACATCTCAGCAGGATGGGGTGGGCGGAACTGCAGAAATTAGCCAAAGAACATATATGCATAGCCTATGGGCACAGACAGTAATGTGGTGAAGCCTGGAAGGGTGTGCTGGGTGAAGAGGGGAGAAATGGGGGGCATCTGTAATAGTGTCAACAATAAAAGTAAAATCAAATACATTAAAAACAAAAAGTAAAGAGTGATGTCATTTAAATCACCTACCTGGCTGACTTCTTTAGGTAAATGAGTTTGAACCCCCTGAACTATAAAAATGTCTTTAGCTCTTAGGTCAGGTATTTATTAGTCACTTGCTTTGTGTTCAGATTTAACTGGAACTATATAAGGCTTTAATATGGCTACCCCTAAAACAAGCTCATGTACTTCTTGGTGAGGTAACATAGAAATACCACATTTAACACTTTTCATATTGTTTAATAATTAAGTGGCAAATTCTGTGAGCAATTGGAAAAAGGGAGAGGTTAACATTGATTTAGTTATTGGAGAATTCATGAAACACTTAAAACTTGGCAGGGAAGTTGCTGCAGATACCCACTGTGTAAAAATCCCTTATGTCAAAAAAAAAAAGAGAAGAAAAGCTAGGACAGCATCATTAAGTTGAAGATGAGGCTGGAAGCAAAACACCTGAATAAGGGAAGGGTCAGTTCCTTATTATCATCACAGAGCTTATGAGGAGTTTGTCTTATAGAGAGATGAGTTCACTGAATTCTAACAAAAATTGTTTCTTTATTTCTAGGGCCTGTTCTTCTTGATGAATTTGTTGAATGGCAAAAAGTCCGTCAAACATCATAGCAAGAACTATCGTGGAGAAAATGCAAACCTTTTGATTCCTATGTGTATACGAGTTAAATGAGATGAGGAAAAAAAATCCAAAGGGTGCATTTTTATTCATATGAAAGACTTCTCATAGTACTTTTTTTCCCATTTTTTTAAAGGAAATTTTCTTGTTACATGTGATGGGCCTTGTGCCACACCTCTTCTGAGACTGAATATTGAGTTTTTGTTTTGAGTTATGTTTATTACATTTATTTCAGAACAATAAAGATTCAGATTTGTGATAAAGGCCTTCAACTGAAGATGTCCGTTGAGTGTCAGAGTGGTATTTATTTTTGTAAATTTTAATTCTTGAATTTTAAATGTTCTATTCACCATGAATTTGTGGAACCTTAAAGATTTTAAATAACTTAATATTTGGCAGTGTAGCCTGCTGATAGTATGGCTTAATGTCTTCATCTCTGCTCAGTTAGAACAATTATTGGCCTTGACTTCTGGGATGATAATATTCTGATGCAGCTAGTACATTTTTGGATATTGAAAGTGCTCCACCTTTCAGCTCTGGTTTTCTGTGAAAGCTGCCATGGTTTGATACGTATACTTTACTTGAAAAGTTTAGAATTAGAAAGATGATGTCTAGTCATTTTCTTTTCCAACCATTAACTAGTATTGTCAGCATAAATCAGCATTCCATGTATATTCTTAATGTGAATTTTAAGTTTTCTGTATTGTATCATTTTACAAGTACCTTTTATATTCGAAAGAATGCAAGGCTCATATATTAACAGTCTCAGAATCAGACAAATCACACAGCCTTATGAGAGAATGAAGATCAATATTGAAGTTGCAGAATCATCATTATTATTGTTAGTGGCATATGTATCCATTTAACTGGCATTTTGAGAAACAAGGAGTTGTGTTGAGGTCCTTTTTTTTCCCCTCAAGAGAACCTTCTCTGATGTTGTGGATTTAATTAAGACATAATAGGAAAAGAAGGTAATAGAATAAGGAATTATGAGAGAACTCTGGACATAATTGTGCCCAACTCAAAGTTGCCATTTACATTCTTTCAATCACATTTTTGCTAATTATCGCAGTTTTCTGACTGTTGGCAATAAAGTATCGTGAGGAAAGGACAGCCTTTTCTAATTCACATAGAAAGCATTTTTTGGACTAGCAGCAGGGCTGTTTTACATTCCTTTTCAAACCATCCAATATCCCAGTCATAGGAAAACTTCACAGTCATAGTCCAGTCACAACCTTAATAACATTTCTAGTTTCATTGTATGAGTGGAGAGAAGTAAATAGAATATTTTCCAATAATAAGGCCATTTCTATTGGGATTTAAGGTGAAGGTTGATTTTCAATGGTGAATTTATTTAATGAATGATTTTTCAGTATTGATTACTTAGGGGAGAATAGCATTTTAAAGATGTTTGTGGTTTGCTTTTTGGTTAAGATGGGAGAAAATGATTACTATTTTACTTGCCTTCTTAATGAAATTACTTTGTAAAACACAGATGCAATAGTGGGAAAACAACTTACTAAGTATTAGAATCACTGAATTACTAGAATTGAGCATACTGGCAGTGTTATGGTTTAATGTTATAAATGATATTTTAGCCCTAGCTGGTGTGTCTCTGGATTGAGTGCCAGCCTGCGAACCAAAAGGGCATGGGTTCAATTCCCTGTCAGGGCACATACCTGGGTTGTGGGCCAGGTGCCCCAATAGGGGGTGTATGAGAGGCAACCACGCATTGATGTTTCTCTCCCTCTCTTTCTCCTTCCATTCCCCTCTCTCTAAAAAATAAATAAAATCATTAAAAAAAGTAAATGATTTTAATATCAAATTTATTGTAAGTAAAGTGTCTAGATTATTGGACATTTAGATCTATAATTTGACTCTTTTCTCTGAGACACAACTGCTGAACTTGAAGATTGTTGCCCACTTTTGCTTAATTCCAAAACATACAACTGAAGTGAAATGTTACAAGTTGTCATTTTATAGCCAGAACTAATGGTAATGTCTTTGTCTTTGTCATCTTCACTATTTGAGTTAAAAAAACAAAACACTTAAGACTTACAGGTGACCTTTTACAAAATGTATATGAAACTATTTACTTGGCTTACTTTTGCAAAGATACCTTTAACACTTTCTGAATATGAAAACTAAAATGAAACATTTTTTTTCCCTTAAGAGCCTAATCCTTCCCAGGTCCATGCTTGCTTTCCTCTCTTCCTCCTTGTTCTCGTACCTCCTTAGAGGCATTCACTTACTTTGGAGATGGAATTACTCTGCCTCATTTGTCAGAATGTGGGCTTGACCTTTCTTGTCATAACTTTCTTAATTTATATTTGAACAGCATTTAATTTATTGGGAAACATATGATTAAAACATTAAATGGTGTAAAAGGACATGATTAAGGAGCCTGTGGTATAAAAATGAAGTCTCCTAAATATCGTGGATCTTGTTTAGTTAGTTAGCTTTAAGTGCCTTTCCAGAATCCTGTTGTAAAATTTTCAGGATTTCTTTGTATGGGATAAAATGCTCAGTGGTGCTTTGTAATTGGAAATGACTTGCTTCTTACAGAATAGCATACAAATGTAGTATTACTACTTGAAGAAAGTAGAGCCAAGTGTTGATTCTCATCTGTGAAAGGATGGAGAAATTTCCACGCCCCCCCTTCCCACCCCACCCTGACCCCTTGGAGTAAGTAGTTTGAACAAGGCCTGGTATTAAGTAATCGGAAGGAATTCGGGTAACAGTGTTACCTTAATTGGACATACAAAACAGTATATTGTGTGCTGAACTGTCTGCGTTACAGTGTTTGTTTTTATTGTCTAATGATTTCTTGTTTTTTAAATGCTTCCAGTAAAATTCTTGACAAAACAGTTTTGACAGTAATAGTATTTTTGTGTATAATGCATAGGGTTTGTTGATTTGAGTTTTAACTCTACTAAAGTACTCTGGACAAATGTTTCTTAACTTGTAATTTGAGGGCTTTCCATGGCGATATTAGATTGACTCAGGAGTATTTCTCTTAAGTACAAATGTCTTTTCATCTAGTAAATGAAAAATTTATCTTTAACAATAATTTGTCATCACTTTGTGCGGTGAGGAGAGGAAGAGTAAAGAATTTTAAGATAACTAGAGTTCTTAAACCATACAAGTTATGTACCATAGCTTAGATTCAGAATATGAAGTGTACTAACAGTGAAACATTTAATTTGAACTAAGTATTTCTTCAAAATATGTTCTTCCTGCATAATTGTTCATGTAAAATTCTGAAAAGATTTATTGAATTTTATTTTGTGCTCATCTTGAGAAGCAAATAGAATGTTGATTTAATTTTGCTGCTCATGTAAAAGTGTATTTAAAACTTGTGATGATAATTCAGTCTGATAGTTTTGGTTGGGCTTTTATGGCTCATTATTGGCTCAAGTTTTGTAGCACATCTCTCATGTGTTTACCACATGTCTAAAGCATCATAGAAATTGACATTATAGTACATTTGAATTATTTAAGTGCATTTGTTAGACTAAAAGAAAGGCAAAATAATCTCCTAATCATATTCCTAAAGAATTCTTATTATTAAAGAGCAATTCTCCCTTTTTGGGAAAGTACTATTTCTTGAGTGATACTAGAAGTCATTACAAGGGAACAGTTTCAAGAACAGTTCATTTTCTCTTCAGGAGAGAAGAGAAATAACAGCAAAATCTCAGAGATTTCCTCAATAGGGAAGGCTAGTCGGAAATATTCGGTATCATAATTTTTTAATGAACGTAGTTTTATTGCTTTCATAAGTATTTGGTAATAGCCAGACAAAAAAAGAGATTGCTTTTAAGACTTGATCTTTCTGTTAACAAGACGTAGTTATTTATGAGTAGTATTGTGGAAGCAAAAAAAGCAGTCTTAACTTTAATGGTAAATTTATATAGATTACTGATAGTGGAAAGGATGAATTTCTGTCTGAGCCTTAGGTAAATTATCACTAATTCACTCTTTAATTGTAGAGATTGTTCTAGTGAACTTTTACTTCACTGCAGCAAATCTTAAGAGCTTTTAAAGCACAATTTAGTTAACCTTTTTCCAAGCACCAACCTTAATAAAAAATCAAAAATTTGCTCTGCCCACCTTACAATTTTTTGTATCTTACGTAGGTAGTACTTCCCTTTGCTCCTTTCCTAGTTGAAATTGGTTTGACCAGTTTTGTTTTTTCCCAGACTTCAAATACAGCCTTGGCTGGTGTGTCTCAGTGGATTGAGTGCTGGCCTGCGAGCCTGCAAATCAAGGGGTCACTGGTTCGATTCCCAGGTAGGGCAGGTCCCCAGTAGGGAGCGTGTGAGGAGCAACCACACGCTAATGTTTTCTCTCCCTCTCTTTTTTCCTCCTTTCCCCTCTCTCTAAAATTAAATAAATAAAATCTTCAAAAAAATTTTAAAGTAGGAGCAAAAGTTTACTTAGAAAGTCATAGAGGTAGAAGTGAGCCAGGGAAGAAGTGAGCCAGCCAGGCAGTGAGGACTCAGGAAACAAGTTACAGAGGCAAAAGGTGTCCGTGGAGCTTAGGAGAAAGGCAAAAGGCTTGCCTGGGGGAAGGAGAGGGGAAGAGGTGTGGGCACCCTCAGAGAGAGTGCATGCCCCATTTTTTTTTTTTTTGTATGCTTTGTAGTTTACTAGAACCTTTTATAATAAAGCCATTTTTGCTTGGGTTCTTGTTTACCATGTGTTAAATATTTTTTAAAAATCCAGTAATAGGATTAGACTTTGATATGAATATGGAATTTTGGTCTTACAATACCAGTATTATTGGAGCTTTGTTGTACTTACTTTATGGAAATGCAGTCTATTAATGGATGAGTTATAATTAAATAGTTTGATTAAAAATTTATTTCTTCCAAATTATATCATTTTAAAGAACCTTTATCCTGCATTTTGGCTTTCACAACTTTGAAGTATGAATGAAAATTGTTCTACATACTTCATGGATTGTTTTTAAGTATGAAGATAAAATCGTGGACATTATGAAATATTCAAATAACCATACCTATAATTATTTTTAAAAGATAACAAAAATAAGCCAAGTGGGCATTTATAAAGCTAGATTTACCCCAGACGTGTGTCTGTGTGTGTGTGTGTAAATTGAGTATTACTATTACTCATAATTTTTCCTTGTAGATGAAAGACCTACTTGAACAACTTGAGATTTTCAGACAATATTAACTTCCTAAACTTAGAAAATTAATTCTTGTGAATATTGAATTAAGTGGTTTGTTTACCTAGTACTCTACCTGTGTTCTATTATGCAAATTAAATGGCTTATAGCAAATTCATGCACAATATTTTTATATGCAAATATAGAATTCTTACCTGTTTTGGATTTATATCATTCCTTGAAAGTACTTTAAGCCCTGTCTGGTGTGGCTCAGTGGCTTGAGCATGGGCTTGCGAACCAAAGGGTCGCTGGTTCAACTCCCAGTCCAGGGCACATGCCTGGGTTGCAGGCCAGATCTCCTGTGGGGGCGTGCATGAGAAGCAACCACACATTGATGTTTCTCCCCCTCTCTTTCTCCCTTCCCCTCTCTAAAAATAAATGAATTAAAAGTAAAAAAGTACTTTGAATATTGAGGGAGTTTATAGGAGAAGTACTAGAGAAAACTTACTTGGTTTCCTCTTTGCAACGTCCTTGTTATGCGACTTAGATATGTCACTTGACTCTGCCATCTTCAGTTTCATCTTCTGTAAAACTGATGATAATACCTATCATATTGTTAGAAAGTTCTAACAGGGCTGTATCCGTAACACTTAGTAAATGTTAAATGAATACACCTTAATATTTGAATTAAAAACAATTAGCTAACATTGTTTTCTCCAAAAATTATATTTTGTATAAACTAAAATATCTTGTATTTCCTGTTTTATTCTACCATATATTTTTATAATCAGACTTATTCATATTCCTCCTGGACTAAATATTTCAATAAGTCCCAAACATGTATTATTGTTTTCAAACATGTATGAGAAATAATTGTCTATTCTGTACCTAAAACACTTCCTGCTACTTTCATAAAGTGTTTTAGGCACAGAATAGACAATTATTTCTCATCCTTAGGTGATTTTCATTTTAATTGATAAAATACATAGTTTATCATACAGTAACAAGATTTTAAGTGAAAAGTTGAAGGGGTCTGGAAGGTACATGAGTATGATACTGCTATTTTAAATAGTAAGCAGGGATCTGATGTGAACAATTGAGCCATGTGCACATCAGGGAGAAGAGCTTTCCAGGCAGAAGGACTAGTACATGCTAAGGCCCTGAGTTGGTAGTGTGCTTGGCAGCAAAATCACTGTGCCTATAACAACTAAGAAGAATACTGCCAGAATTAGAAATTGAAGTTAGAAAGATTGGGAGTAATGATTGTGCCTGCTTGTAGGTAATCATAGGACATTGTAGGCCTTTCTAAAGATTTAGATTTTTATTGAAGTGGGAAGCTATTAGATTTCTGATCAAAGCAAGGTTAGAAGTGGGTAGTATGAGTAGGGTAATATTTGTAGTAGTCCAGATGAGAAATGGTACGGTTTGAATGAGGCTGAGGGTAGTGGAAATAGGTGGTCATATTAAGATTTTTATAGAGCCAGTAGTATGTGCTGATGGATTGATGCAGGGTATGAGACAGAATAATCAAGAAAGATTCCAAGATTATTGGTTTGAACAAATCGAAGAA